TGTAAATCAACTTGTCTAAACTATCCTAAATAAATTATCTTCTTTGAAAAACAATTTCTAGAAACGATGACTATGTAAGGAATGAAATACAATCTGAATGTGTATATCGGCATCTCCCGATACTTGGCCATCTACTTACCCGCACACATCTAACTGTCTCTTATTTTTTCTGAAATAGAAAAGAGCTGCTAAGAGAGAGGAAGCATTAGCATCATTTGAGGCCTGGAAGGCTATGAAAGAAAAGGAAGCAAAGAAAATCGCCGCCAAAAAAAGACTTGAGGAAAAAAACAAGAAAAAAACCGAGGAAGAAAATGCTGTGAGAAAAGGAGAGGCACTACAGGTATGCAGGGGCTTCGGACATCTGCCTTCCTTATCCTCCCTCGCTCAGCACCTATGGTACTGATTGACTGCGCTTCTCCTTACCTGGTCACATCCACGGTCAGTAAGAAACTCGTTGTGAACTCTTTCAGGCGTTTGAACGATGGAAAGAGAAAAAGATGGAGTATCTTAGAGAGAAAAATAAAAAGGAGAAAGAATACGAAAGAGCGAAGAAGCAGAAAGAGGAGGAAACTATTGCTGAGAAAAGGAAAGATAACTTAACAGCTGTAGAGAAATGGTAATCCCAAATGAGAACTGTTTTGCTCCATTTCAAATGAATAACGCTCTAGGCTTTTAAAACATTGTTTGCTTGAAATTTACTAATGTATCGGCATCTCATTACCACAAAGATGTATTAGGAAATCTTTATTATAGCCTCTCCTTTAACCACCCAGTGTTTTGTACTGTCCTACATAGGAATGAAAAGAAGGACGCCTTTTTCAAAGAAAAGGAGAAAGAGAGAATAAATGAGAAAAGAAGAGAAGAACTGAAAAAAGCAGAGAAGAAAGATAAAGACAAGCAAGCTATTGATGAATATGAAAAATGGCTGGTAGGTATTGTTTGTTAATGAACCTGTGTCTTATTAATGTACTTTATTCATGACTTTTCTGTGCCTAATTCCAGTTCTTTTTGCCCCTGCCTGCTGGCCATTTCTACTCAAAGCTGCCTTGTTGAATCTGTTCTCTCCCTATGTCTATCATATTGTCTTTGATTTACTCATTTCTGTTAACGCTTCTACTATTCCTTCAAGCACTCAGGCTTAAGCCTTCAGGCATGATATTCTGCCTTACCCGCATTCCCAGGGTTAGTCACTTACCAGTCGTGCCTAGTCTTCCTTTGCAATGACTCTTAGGTGTAAAATCACAAAAAGCTGACAAGTGCACTGCTGAAGGACTTGTCAGCTTTTAGGTGGGACTTGTCATGACACATAGTAATACTGAATTGAACGGTGAGAAAGTTATTCCACTTTTTAAATTCTCTTTTGCTCTTTCCAATGACCTCAAGGAGAAAGTCTCATTTTGGTGCTTTTTAACGAAAGAAAGCAAATAAGAAGTTCGGGAGGAAAATGTCTAGCTGGACGTAACATGTTTCTGTTTTTTAAATATTTTTCTTCTGTTTTAGTCTGCTTATGTTTATAGTTCCTTTTCATTGATGTTAAGCAAAATACTGTTTTCTATTTTAAAATATCATCATATATATATGTGTTTATCAATTTTTGACTAAGTAACGTGTTCATATGAAAAGCACTTTACATCGGTAGGTGGCACATTCACGCGGGTAGTTAGCATCCCCATAGGTGGCACATTCATGTGGGCAGTTAGCATTCCGCCTGGGGCAGCAATCGCAAAGTGTAAAAGTTGCTCCACGGGGCATAGCATCCGGTAGGGCTCTCTGCAGTAAGATTTCTTATAAACTTTTTGAATTCATGTCAATGTGCTAGTTAAAAATACTGTTCAGGGTATTTTGTGGTTGTATTTCTCTGGTTAGGACTGACTTTTAGCATCTTTTCATTTGTGGAAGGGTCACTTGTCATTTTTTTTGTAAACTGTTAATCCATAGGCTTTGCACATTTTTCTGTTGGTCTTTTTCATATTAATTTTCAGAAGCTTTTTTATACACTAGGGAAATAAGCCTATTTCTGGTAGGAGTTACAACCATTTTTTCCCATGCTTTTGTTGATCTCTCAACTTTGCATATAGTATTTTATGCGATGAACAATTTTGTTTTATCTTCTGGTGTCAAATTTATCAGTCTTTTGAGTTCTATTTTCAGGCATAGTTGAAAAGACTTTCTTCATAACTTGAAGTTAAATAAAGTGTTCTCATTTTTCTTCTAGTAACTTTATGATTTTAATATCTTGACATTTTAACATTTGACCAGCTTATAATTTATCTTACTCGTGATGGGATATATGATTCCAACTTTATTTTTTCCAAACACATCTCCTATAAAAAAGCCTCTTACACAATGATTTGAGGTACTGCCTTTGTTATCTGATACATTCCCAGAATTTAGGATCTGTTTCTTCTCTTCTTTTTTTTTTTTTTAATGTTTATTTATTTCTGAGGGAGAGAGAGAGAGAGAGAGAAAGAAACAGAATATAAGTGGGGGAGGGACAGAGAGAGAGGGAGACACAGAATCCGAAGCAGGCTCCAGACTACGAGCTGTCGGCACAGAGCCTGACGCGGGGCTCAGACTCACAAACCATGAGATCATGACCTGAGCTGACATTGGACGCCCAACTGACTGAGCCACCCAGGTGCCCCAGGATCTGTTTCTTGACTTTCTGTTCCATGGGTCAATCTCAGATCTCACTGTACATATTCCATATACTGTTTCATTATCAGGACTTTATATCTGTTTTGCTTAATCTTCCTTCATAGCTCCACTTTCAAGTATCTATTATTATTTACTTTTTCACATAAACTTTAGAATCAACAGTAGCTAGAGAAACATTCAGGACACAAGGCAGACTATGTAAAGATAAGATAAAAACATGAAGCATTTAGGAATAAACTTAAGAAATGTACAAGACAAAGAAAACTGTGAAGAAAATTTTAGAACACTCCTAAAGGACACAAATGAAGACTTGAGAACATGGATCAAAACTGCTCTTGGATAGAAACACTCAGTCTTATAATGATGTTATAGATGTCAGTTCTCCCTGCAATAATTTACAAATTTAATTCAATCCTAATAAATATAGCAACAGAATTTATTATTGTTTATGTGTTGACTTTAGTGCTGTTTTATGCCAATTTCAGGCAGAAAAACAGTAAGGAATAAGGTGATCAAAATTGGTTTAATGGTTTGAATGAGGAAGGTAGTATTTCATGATGTCTTTCTTAAACTTTTAAAAAAAAAATTTAATGTTTATTTTTGAGAGAGAGAGGGGGGTGGGTGGGGCAGAGAGAGAAGGAGACACAGAATCCGAAGCAGGCTCCAGGCTCTGAGCTGTCAGCACAGAGCCCTATGCAGGGCTCAAACCTACGAACTGTGAGACCACGACCTGAGCCAAAGTTGGACGTTTAACTGACTGAGCCACCCAGGCGCCCCTTCCTTAAACTCTTAAATAGTGCTTGGTTCTAAGAAAAATGAAAACTCTTCATAGATCAAGGAGACATATACTGTGTGCTAGTATCACTTATAGCAACTAAATGTACGTGTTTAAGTTTTCAGTTTTATTTTCACTTATTCTTGAAAGTGGAATAAAATCTCCTTAATGACTAAGCCACAGTTAGGTACATTGTGTTTTATTATAGTACTTAGTCACTTTCTCATCCTGATCAGTCCTCTAGAGAACAAAAACTCATCAATCAAAGATCTACGATGAAAATGACTTGTTTTGATGTCAGTATAACCTCAACAAATATAATGCTACTTATAAAAACATCCATATACAATATGTTACAGAACTACTCCTCCATTTTACCAATCTCTTATTAAAATTTGTTTGCAGATAGTTTGGAAAAATACCCCTATTTAGAAATCTAAGGACTTTCATTTTAATGTAAAGTTATGTGTCAAAATTTTGTTATAAAATCTAATTTGAGTAGTGAGCATTGGATGAGTTATTATTTTAGGGGAAAGTTATAGCCAAAGATCAGTAAGACTCTCTTCTTTACACTGGTTCCCAGATTAATTAATAGTTGCCTTTAGTAAGAAAATGAATAAAAAGTTCAGTCTCCAACAGACAACAGTCAGAAGGACTTTATAACAAGGTTCTTTTAATTTTTAATTATTGCTTGAGTAATATTACCAATAATTAATTATTACTCAAGATAACATTGTAGATCATCTGAATTGATATTAAGGTTGATAGTTGCTTATTTTCTATTCTGACCTTTTTAGTATCTACCAGTAAGAACAAACTTGTTTCATGTTTCCCTCTCTCTCCCCATGTTAAATGGAACAGACAAAAAGAGGTTTGTTTGGTCAGTTTCTGTGGACACAGCCTAGTCTTTGCTTTTCTGCTACCTAGCAAGAGGGTCTGCCTCCCTCTGAGATACTAAAATGATTGTGACTCGATAGTTTTTTTTGTTTTCTCAATTAAGATTCTGAAAGGAGATTCCCTCTTTGCTTTAGTAGGACTAGCAGGCATGCAAACATTTTCATGATCTGGAGCAAGGTGTTAAAATAATTTCATACCTCTCTATTCCTTTCGTTTTATGTGAATAATTGTATGTCGATGGAAACCTTGCGTTATCGTATTCTCCTTGTGACATCTATCAGTTCCACACAGGTACGGGTAAAAGAACCGTAGACACCTAATAATTTACCAAAAATGCTGTCCCTCCCAAGCCGCCCAGTCTGCAGAGGCAGTGCTGTTTAAGGGTTCCTGGGTACTGCTGCTCTTTGAGAAAATCACCAAGGTGAGGAAACCACCCAACTTGCAGGTGTTAGCAGAGACTTGGAGAAATGGAAAGACAATCTGAGCTGCAGGGTGAAAGGAGCGAGAGCTGTTAACATTTCAGGTAGTCCTAGATTAATGTCTAGATTTCACGGTACTTCCCACATACTCAGTCATCTCTTTGACAGGTATGTGTATGGGGAAACAGAATGGCTCGAAAATTCATCTGCTTTCATGAAAATGTGAGGTTCTAGAAGATAATATTTTCAAATAAGATGAAGGTCAGAACTGTTCCCATCAAGCAGTAAAATAAAAACTTACCATTCCATTCACCCAGAAGCCAGCGTTCTCGCCTGGATTATTCCCACCACTTTCCAGGATATGTAGCCCTTAATTCCTCATTTGCCTCCAGAGGTGGTCCCACATTTCACTGCTTTTTCTACAGCTAAACTTCTAAAGGTTCATTTACACTTCTTAGTTCTCCATACCCTTTTCACCCTCCACACACTCCGAGCTTGTCTCTTTTGCCATTGTGTTACAGAAACTACGCTTTGACAGTTAGTTTTGTCAGACCATGTAGCCATCCAATGTGTTGTTTTCTGCCACATTCCCCGGACCTCTCAAACATTCTAGATAGTCGCATCCTCCTTCTTGCAGCCATCTTCTCTCCTGGGTGCCCTGTTCCCCTGGTTTCTCTCACTTCCCGGCCTCCCTTCCCAGCGTCACTTGTTGACTTCTCTTCTCTTACATATGTGCCAGTTGTTACTGTGGCCTGCGGGCCCCACCGCACCTCACTCCCCTGTCTTTTTATTCTCACCTGGCACCCCCTTCCCATCTTCCCAGTTTGAGTCACGCTGGCTCTCTCGTTTCTCCTCACATCCCATGGTTCTCTGACTTGTCAGAGCCCTGACATATACTGCTCCCTCTACTTGAAATGCTCTCTCCCCATCGCGTATCACAAGTGGCTTCTCTTACCCATCTTGTCTCACTCACAGTGACATTCCTGAGTCCACTTTTCTTTGCAAGGAAGTACTCCCTTTTGCTCTTTAACAATCACAACGATCTTTTCATGATGTTCCATAGAAATTCTCACAACTCGAAATGATCTGTGGTTTCTTTGATTGTTTATTAACTGCCTATTTTGAAAATCCCCTGAGGGACAGGGACCAAATCAGTGTGTTTGGATTTTAGAATCACTTTATGCATGGCCCTCACTATGCTACTTGACCCAGAGTAGGATCTCAGTGCTTAAAAGGTGAATGAATAAACACAAATCAAAGCAATATAGTACCAGTAAAATATTAGACCCCCCCCAGGGCCCCTCAGAACCTGTTACAAGTAAGGATATGCTATATAATAAAGTAACGCAAATTAATACATGCAGGGAAATTATAATTTGGTTATTTGTGTGCCATTTGGACATAAAATCTCTTCAGAAAATTACCCTACAACAATAGAAACTCCAAAAGAACTAAAGCAATGAATATAAAATGCCAAACAATAGAAGAACCAAAAGAAAATAAAACAGTATCAAGTCTCACAAGATAAGATGCTTTTCTAACCTAGAAGTGCTGTGGAAATAACAAAGGAAAACATGAACAGATATGAAATTTAAAATCATTAATGCATTAACATAAAAAGTCAGTGTAGGTGCTGCTTGGTGAATTCCTACAGCAGCTTTGAAAAATTATTTCCCAGTAAAGTTGAACATAGTCAAACCCTACAAACCAATTTTACTCTAAGCATATACATGGAGAGAAAATCTTGACTTATAGGTACAAGGAATCAAACAAGGATGTTTATAACACGGTCATTGCGTGGGGAAAAAAAAAAAAGGAACATCATTCTTTCAACAAAAACAACAAAAAAAATTGATTAATTGTGATAAGTTGCTATGCTAATATGGAATTCTATTAGTATTCTATGGAATATCAAGGAACTAGAGTTATACCTCATATAGCTGGATCTTAGAAATATTAAGATGAATAAAAGAGGATGTTGCAAAAAATATATAGTGTGTTCCCTTTTATTATAAATTATAAAAACATACAAAAAAGTTATTGGGGGATTAATACATATATGATAAAAGTATTACATATTATAATAAAATATTACAATAAAATTAAAAGATACACTGGAATGATAAGCATCGAATTCAGAGCAATGGATACCTCAGTGGGATGGAGAGGAAGGACTGTGATAAGGGAATGAACACCGAGAGCTTCAAAAGTATTGGTCATGTTTTCTTTTAGAAGGCAGATAGCGGGTTCACAGGTTTTGGCTATATTACTCTTTAAACAGTTGTCACGGCTGAAATATTTCTTATTTTTTATTTTATTTTATTTATTTATTTATTTATTTATTTATTTATTTATTTATTTATTTATTTATTTTGGTAAAAAGGACTAAAAGTAACATAGATAAAACATTTGCTGCAAAGATAATATTTACTGTATGAAACTCTGCAGGGGCGCCTGAATGACTCAGTTGGTTAAGTGTCTAACTCTTGATTTCGGCTCAGGTCATGATTTCATCATTCACGGGTTCGAGCCCCGCATTGGGCTCTGTGCTGGCAGCACGGAGCCTGATTCTTTGTCTCCCTCTCTCTCTGCCCCTCCCTGACTCATGCTCTATGTCTCTCAAGATAAATAAATAAATAAATTCTGAAAAAGGTGTTTATGATATCCATATCGATGAGCTAAATAATTGAGAAAAAAATTCACTTAAAGGTGCTAAAGAAATCAAAATGTGCTCAAACTCAATAATAAGCAAAGAAACATGAGACTTAGCTTTCAACTATTTATGAAAATTTTGAAGTATTCTTGCTGCTATGGCAGATTCAACCTTTGCAGCCAGTAAATTTAGTTCTGAGAATCTGTTCTCAGAAAGTCATCCACCAACCTCTAATAATTATTCTCTTTGAGTTATGGAATTTTAGGGTTTTTTCCCATTTTTCACAATTTTATTTAAATATTATCACTTTTAATATTAAAAAATAAGTGATTAAGTGGTGTATTAGTTCCTGTTGGTAGTATTCTTTATAAGCAATATTCTCTAACTACTATTCCTTTATAAACAGTTAAATCGGAAATGACATTTAAATCTGTAATGGATTATTTTGTTCTTCAATGAGCAACTTTATTTGACAATAATGTTCATATATGTATGTAAATTTACAGTTTTCTGTTTTCTCTTTAGGAAAAGAAAGAAAGGCAGGAAAGAATTGAACGAAAACAGAAGAAACGTCATTCCTTCCTTGAAAATGAGGCACTTCCTCCCTGGAGCCCTCCAAGTCGAACTGTGTTCTCAAAAGTGTTTTGATAATTCTCATTCTTACGTGAGATATAGTTATTTATCAATTCACTAATTTTAGCCGTGAGTTTAAAACTATTTATTCAGTTAGTTATAGTTAGAAGAGTTCTATGTTATTAAACGCCAGCCATTTCCACTGACTGTGGATAAGATGCTTTGGAGTTTAATCAATGAAATAATTGAAGGCATTTTTTTTGGACCGTAGATAAGCTGCCTCAAATAAGAAGCTAATAATCAGATCGCTCTTACCATTAAAAGAACCCTTTATCATGTCTTTGCAATTGTTACAATCAGGTGACCCATGACCACTTTCAGCCGTGCCCGGTATTGAAGTGTGTGTATTCCCCAGAATAAAGGAAACCATTTAGGTATGACAATCATAGAAATAATTGAATCATTCTGTGAATGATTGTCCACCTAGATTCAGGTTTTAAAAGGAATCAATGCTGGCAGTACGCATGTATTATTTTTTCCAAAACTTATCTTTAACTTGAGCGGTTGCACTTGCACTGTACAAGTTAGGTTTTGGTCAGGTGAGGCAGTAGTTCAGTAGAACTCTAATCCTCCAGGCGTTCTATTTAAGGAGTATGCCTTATGTTTTAATATGAGTGTATCTGTCCCAGATTTCTATGACAATCATAGACATAGGCATTTGAGTAGACCTCTCAAATTTGTCCTCTAAATTCTATCTCACTTTATTATTTCGGTGATATCAAAAGATATCCGTTTCTTGGCAGTGAAATACTCACACAATTGAGATGGAAATTCCACAAGAGTTCAAGGTCACTATCACTATTATTATTTTCCAGATTTAAGCCATATAGGTGATAAAGGCAATTTTTGACCTCTTAACCTATTCTAGAGTCTTATAGCTTATATTTAGAAGACAGCTGTATAGGAAGGTAACTTGTAGAAAATGCCCAAAGAATCTTTATTTATTTATTTGATCTGTGCATATCTTTATATTAATTGGACTCATACTTGAACTGGTCAGCTAATTTATCACAGACCAAATGTATGCTCTCAGAGTTGTGATACTACTTAGGCAATGATGGGATGCAATGATGGGTGAGAATATAATTACTATTTATTAAGCACCTATTGTATGGTCTCTTCTGGGTCTTTACAAATGTTAATTCTTTGCAACAAGTATTCAACGCAGGTATTCTTTTTCAGATTAAAAATACTGAGACTCAGAGAAGTAACTTGCCATACATTTAGCATGTGACATTTGAGATTAGAATTGAGTAAGTCTTCCTCCCCCCAGAATCAATAGGCTCATTTTTATGCTCTGTATTATATCAACTTTATAAACACATTTTACCTCTCAGATCCTAAAATCGTGCATTGTTACTTAGAGCTTGTATTTCCTTTTAAGAAATATCTGTTTGTTATTAGAGATGGTGAACTTTATTAGATCTATAAAATGAAAGAAGATTTCATAATATGTAAAGAATTAGTCAAATGCCTTGTATGTAGTATTAGAATGTCAGGAAACCCAGCAGGTAGTGGAACATAGGCTTTTGAGATAGTCATTCAGAAGGTCCCACTCTGAGGATTAAGCTGGCTGCAGTGCGTTCAAGATAAGAGACATCACGGATCACTGGATCACATCAGTGCTACAGGTAGTTGTTTTTTGTTTTTTGTTTTTTTTTAATTATAAATAAAACTAGAAGCCTTTTTATACTGCCGGGAACCAGGAGAATACTTCATGAAATTGAAACTATTATCACCAGTGTGTATTATCAATATGGGATTTAGCTCCTCTGTTTTTCACCAAATAGATATATATAGTGCCTACCAGGATGAATCGTTTATGGTATCTAATTAGCTATTCAGAGCTAAGAAGGTATTTGCAAATTCCAGGAAAGTTAAAGGAAAAAAGGTCAGGGATATGAGATCATAAATGCATATGTCATAAGTTTCACATTAAATATTTACACTTCCCAATTATTTTCTTCTTCATTATCATTTAGTGGCTTGCTATCATCGCTTCTTAGTTGCAGGAGCACTGAATGAAGTTAGTAATTAATGTAAAGCATATGGCACATAATAAGGACTTAATAAATGTTCATTTTCACTTACTTACTTCCATAAGCCCTGCATTTCCCCACTTCATGTATGTGAGGAGAAGGTCAACACAGATGGGATTGATAATGGTTATTTGACTTACACGTTCTTAGCATGCAAGAAGAAATCTCCACTTTCCTGGCCAGTCTGGCCATCAAAAGAGAATATGGAGGTGAGTTGGATTAGAGACCTCCTAAAAAGAAATCTAAAGAAATCTAAATCTTAGCACTGCTTGTGAAGTAGAATGAAATGGGAAATTGAGGTGTTTGCGAAGACCCAGCAATTCATCTCCCTCAGTGGGGAATTTTGTCTTAACTACGATAAATAATAAATTACTTCCTGTTTACAGTAACACCTGCTGATCAGTTATCTAGTTGAATGAAATCCTCTCTTCTTCCCGTAGCAAAAATAAAGCTGAGTTTTAAGAGCTGGATGAAAGTAAAGTACTGTTGACTTTCTGAGATCCAAAGGAGAGAATCCAACCTGGTAATATTCTCTTGAATGCATTTATCTATTTAAGGGGTATGATTTTCCCATATATCCTTTAAAGTATCAAATATCAATACATTTGCTCATCAAGTTTTCATTAATTTATAATAGGGAATTCAAATTCAAATTAAAGACACTAAAAGCATATAGATTTTCAGACTAAAATTCTACTTTTGTAAACTGTATTGATCACTTGAATGCTAACACTTCAAAGTACAGAAAATAAGAATTTAATGAATATTTTGCAATATGACTGAAAACAATTTCCCTAGAAATTGTCAGATTAATACAAAAATAAAATTGTATACAGAATGTATTTTCCCCGTAACAAGCAAGAAAACAGTAGTGCGTTCTATAAATAGAGAAAAACTATATGGCATTTTAGATCAGTAGGAAGTGGCAGTTTTCTTAAAGAAAATAAGAACCATTCAGGGATAACAATTTTCCAGTGGTTTGTATTGCATCCTGTTTTGAAAATGTTAGTAGTTCATTTATTGTTCTAAATAATATTGAAACTGATGTCTCACTGTTGCCAAAGCGGTAGCTGAAAATAGTTAAGTGTTCCCAGTTGTATATACCTTGGAGTTATAAAACTATGGATCTAGAAGGGTTTTAATAATTTCATAAAGTTGGCCCAAACACTATTTCTAAGTTGAATGACTACTTTGACTTTCCCAAGCTCAGATCACTAACCATAAGAATCCAAAGTTAGAAATCAGGTGTCCAGTTTTCCGGTTGTAATCAGCCCGCCATTCCACAATTTTGAGATCTGATAAAACTTTCACACTAACTTTTGTAGCCATGGTCATTACCAACTTAGTTCGTTTCGATTCTCTCCAATGGTCCCTTATTCTTCCAGTGCCTTCTCCATAACTCCACCAGATCAAAGCTCTTTGGGCACCTCCACCATTATTTCATGGGTGGGGGGAGTACTGAAGTTTCTTAAGCTCTGGGTCACAGGCTACAGTAAAATGGAAAAAAGGAATTTCTCAAAATGGGAGAAATTGCATGTTAGCCAAAGTAGTTCCCAAGAATAAACTAGTACAGAAAACAAATTTTCCTGAGGTAATCTTGGCTCTAATTTCAATAGTGCTGTAATAAAAGGTATTTAAACCCATATGCTTCCATTCTACACAAAGCAAAGATATTACCAATTGTCCTGCTTCCTAGGTACATTGGCTGACAGAATAATGAATGCTATGTAAATGCTTAACTAGAGACTTCCCTGAATTCTTTTTATTTTACTTGTGATTTGATTATTTTGGAACATGTTACATGTAATTGTATAATGTTAATTAAATTATTGGCACTAAATTTAGGATGTTTAAGAATTACTTGAGGAGATGTATTTAATGTCTGCTTTTTAGTAGCATACTTCATGTTCTGCTTAATTAAAGTTAATCATTGAAGATTTATTTTATTGGGTCCTCTTATTTATTGATTGTGCCAAATTTCATTTCATAACATTGGAAAATGTGGTGTGAGTTTTATTTGTGGGCTAAAGGTGAAATGATCATTGTCATTTGCAGCAACATGGATGGATCTAGAGAGTATAATACTAAGCGTAATAAGCCAGAGACAGACAAATAGCGTATGATTTCACTCATATGTGGAATTTAAGAAAGAGAACGAATTGAACAAAGAAAAGAAAAAGAAAAAAAAAGACAAACCAAAAAACCAGACTCTTAACTATAGAGATCAAACAGATGGTTACCAGAAGGGAGGTGGGGGGCGGGGGCGAGGATGGGGGAAATTGGTGAGGGGGATTAAGAGTACACTTATGATGAGCACTGAGTAATGTATAGAATGGTTGAATCACTATATTGTACACCTAAAATTAATATAACACTATGTTAACCACACAAAAGTCTTTTTTAAAGATGAAATAATTATATTATGCTGATATACCTTTTATTAGAAATGACTGAAATTTTGAAAAAAAAAGAAAATTTGGATATAAACTTTTTTTTTACTTGAAATACTACACAAATTACAAAGGTAATGTAATTATAAAATTATGAAATAATTAGAAAGTGCAGCATCACCTGGGTGGCTTAGTCGGTTGAGCATCTAACTCTTGATTTCAGCTCAGGTTATCATCCTAGGGTGGTAGGATTGAGCCCCACATCGGGCTCTGCCCTGAGCATGGAGTGGAGCCTGTATGGGATTCTCTTTTTCCCTCTGCCCCCTGACTTGTGCACGCTCTCTCTCTCTCTCTTAATAATAATCATAAGTGCAAATAGCAAAAATAACCCACATTCCCATCTCCCCGAAACATTCATAGTTAACATACTCTGTACTCTCCCAGCTTTTAATTTCCGGTGCATTTTTTCTTGTAGTTGAAATTAAGCTGAGAATGAAGAAGGCAGAGATACAGTTCCCTCTATCTCTGTTTTCCTCCGTGTCTCTCTATCTCTGTCTCTGTCTCTCCCATGCTACCTATATGTGTT